TATCCTTGTAGGCTTCTAAAGTAAGGGGAGATGGCCAAGGACCATTCCTTGGCCCACCTGTGACAGGTCCCATTGTTGATCATTGAAGCATGAGTGGGAAGCTGACCTAGAGTCCTAAAGAGCAGGTATGACTGCAGCCTGGGGTCCTAATAATCTGAGGAAGAGCTGTGAGCAAGCTACGTATGAAATGGCATTTAAATTCAAAAGCACTAATGAATTTGTTTGTGTTTTGCAATACTGCGTAAGGAACTCAGGACCTCCTGCATGCTAGGCAAGGGCTCTATTACTGAACCCCTCAGTCCAAGGAGCACTGTTTAAAACAAGAAGAATGTGGCAAAAATGAGCACTAACACACATTCATACACTCATAGAGAACAATGCTGAATTGTAGCTATCAAAAAGATAATGGCCGGCTGCGCGTCTGGAAAAGCCTAAAGGTTAGACTGTAAGCAAAACCAAAGTCATGTTTCGAAGACCTGTGTCACAGGTATTTCATCAGTTCATAAGACGTCAGTCTGAGGTGGCCAGCAGTTTGGTTCTTGAACGATCTATGAATCGTGTTCAGTTCCTTGGGCGAGTAAGTCAGGACCCTGTCCTGAGACAGGTGAAGGAAAAAACCCAGTCACGATATTTTCTCTGGCACCAAATGAGATGTGGCAATCAGGGGACAGTGAAGTATACCAAATGGGTGACGTCAGTCAAAAGACAATATGGCACAGAACATCCGTGTTTCGACCAGGCCCCAGAGATGTGGCGTATCAGTATGTAAAAAAAGGGGCTCGCATATTTGTGGAAGGGAAAGTGGACTATGGTGAATACATGGATAAGAATAATGTGAGGCGGCAAGCAACAACAATCACAGCTGATAACATTATATTTCTGAGTGACCAGATAAGAGAAAAGGCATAGAACGGATGATTCTTCTTTGATCATTGTTTGGTACAGTCTCCTTTCCAAATCATGTATAGTCTATAGTTTAAAGATAAAGATTAAAAAATTTTATATTAAAAAAAAAGGCCATGACCCAATCTCAGAAACCTGTTTATAGGACCTTATCTGGAAAAAGGATCTTAGAGTACAATTAAGGCTCTCCAGAGGTGAGAAGCACCCTGAATTTCGGGGAAGTCTTAAAACCAATGATAGGTGCCCTGAGAGAGAGAGAGGTACAAGAACTACGGGCTTAGACCCATGGGGCTAAGAAGCATGTAAAAGCAAGTTAGAGACTACAGTTATACCACTAGGAGCCATGGGGTGCACGAAGCCACCTTGCCAGAGGCCAGGAAGGCTTCTCTAGCCCTAGAGTCCTCAGAGGGAACATGGCCCTGCCATACTTAGCTTTGGACTTCTGGCCTCTATAATTGTAAGACTAATAATAATTCTCTGTTGCTTTGAGACACTATGTGGTCATTTCTAACAGCTGCCTTAAGACAATGACACAAATCCCATTTTCTTTTTTGATAGATAAAGGTTTATGGGGCATGAGGAAGAATGGCATATATCTGGATTTTAGCAATGAATTTGAAAACCCATTAGTATATTCTTGGCAATGAAGTGGGCGGGGGACACAAGACTATTTGTAGGAGTAACCACTTCACCTTAACAGACTGAATTTGGGGTAAGATTTACAAGTTATCTGAAGGAGAGTGCTGCATAAGAAAATAAAATTACTTTTCCACCAGATTTGAGTTCATGGAGCAAGGGTTGGTGTTTTGGTCAGTGCTCTGTCTTAGAATAGTTGCTGGCACACAGCAGGAACGAGAAAGAACTGGTTTTCTTCTGAGTACTAACAACCAAAAGGCTTATTAAGTAGGAAAGGTTAGCTAAGCATACCTGGGTTTATCAAAACCTGAAACTCTTCCTTTTGGGGAGGTCGGGTCTCATCAGATAGCTCTGGATGACTTGGAACTCACTATGTAGACCAGGCTAACCCTGAATTCAGAGACCCAACTGCTTCTGTCTCCTCCTGAGTGCTGAGATTAAAAGTGTAGCTATGTGAAAAATGTCAGCAGATGTAAGAAGTTCCAAACACAGAGGTTCATGAGAAAATCCAAGTAGAAGGGAAAGGCTCTTGCAGGGGAAGAGACAACCTGACAGCCTGCAGGCCTTCTATTATTGAGGGATGGGGACATCCAGACTCACACAATGCCAACTCCTTTGCCCATTCTATTAGTAGGAAAACTTTCCACTCTCAAAAGAAGGGCAAGAGTGAGCACAAGAAGAAAAGGACACTTGAATTAGTGAGGAAGGGTACAGAGAAAGGTCATGTTAGTTTTGAAACTTGGTCAACACTGAAAATAATGTTTTCCTACCTTCCCACACCATGGCACAACAGAAAAGACAAATCCTTGTAGGCTTTTAAAAGTGTAAGCCACCAATGCCTGGCCAACCCTAAAACTCTTAAGATAGTCTTGGTTCCTTGATTTGCAGCCGGCTATCTCCAAAGCACTGAGCAATTAATATTCGGCTGACTAGAGTGTTTCTGTATACTTGAGGCCTCAAGGCACCCATGTCCTAAACTGACACAACATTCACACCAACACTGAGATGTCCCCTTTGTTTTGGGGGATTGGGCTTGGGAACTCTGGTCGGTTGGTCGGTCAGTCAGCCTACCCACAGATGGATAAGAACCTAGTGCTGAGTCCTGAGAGTCATTTACCAAATGTTGGAGCCTGAAGGTAGCCTTGGGGCCCCAGTTACAGTCTATGGCCACCTAAAGTACCCTAACCACCCAGGCACAGACCGGCAGATTCATTACCTTTGCGTGCTCCTCTTGATCTGATTTTGGTTTTCTTTTTTTACTTTTGCTTTGAAACTCCACCACTTCCACTAGCTTGCTGTTGTTCTTTAGGGGAGAGGGTGATACTGCAGTAGTGGCAGGGACTTCTGGTCCTGAAGGGGGAGCTGAGGGGACAGCAGGAGCAGAGTGCAGCTCTTCTTTGAGCTCCTTGAAAAAGCTGGAAGCACTCTTCCTCTGGCCTCTTACAAGAGCTCCAGGCAGAGGCAGTGACTCTGCTGTCACATCTGCTATTGTTTCCACGTCTCTCTTCTTTTCTCTCTTCTTTCTGATCCTTTTATGCTCTTTTTCAACCTCCGTCTCTCCTGTTTGTTTCAACATAAAAGAAAATTTTAGAAGTATTTTGGTTTTAGTTAACCCCAATACCAAATGAACGTCACTGTGCATATGGCCCAGACACAGGCACCCATGTGTACAAATAAAGAAACAAACTGTCTGGGACTAGAGTGCTTGCTGCCAAGCCTGACGACTTAAGCTTGATCCCCAGGACCCACACGGTGGAAGCAGAGAACTGACTCGAGTTAAGTTGTCTTATTTTAACAGGGTGGAGGTGACAAATACACACCCATACAGATACCCCCCTGCCCATAAATAAATGTAACCTGAAGAGTAAAAACACAACTTTAAAAAAAAAAAAAAGAAAAGAAAAAGAAATTGTTTTTCTTCAAGTAGGATGTTTCTGCACCATTTTTAGAAATCAAAATGCCGTCATTCTTGCCTAGGTAGCTGTATGTGTATTTCTGACCGTTATTAATACGATTGCTCTAGTCCTCACACTTGATCCTTACTTAGTGGCATCAGAGTTGTTAGTTCCCAGGACTGTAACTCAAAATCCACCCATTTGTTGTATTAAAAACATTTGCCCCCACAGGAGTATTGCTTTTTACCGCATCGCAGGGTTACAAGTACATGCCCCTGTCTTCCTGTTTTCTTTCAGTTATGAATTAAAGAAAATACAGGAACATTGCCTTAATTTAAATACCTTTACTTTCTACTAAATTTCTCATCTTCTGTTTGTTTCCTCTGCTCAGGCTCTCAACAGAGACCTGAAATCTGAACCAGAATTCTAGGCCTCATTACTGACCTACAGTATGAGCGAGAGCAAGAGCTCTCTAAACAGCTGTGTGCTCACTAAACGTGTACTTGGAGCCAACTGAACTCTGGCAGTAGGGGTCTAAAAAACGGTCCGGGTCACTGGAGCAACTAAAGTGAATTTCCCATATGTGGACATAAATCGGATTTAGGATTTGAAAAATTAGTCTTAAAACTAGGAAAGTCGAAGGTCAAGTCTTGTCTGTCCTCCACTCCATGGACACAGAGAACCTATCTATTCAGGACAAGTCAACCCAGCGCAAAATGTAGGCCCTAGGCCTTGAGATCTGAGTTCTGAAGGGAACCTTTAACAAGTTCCGTTAGCTATTGGTGCTTGTTTCTCTGTAACAAAGAGATCCATGTAGGGATATGTTAAGGGTTGCTCTCACAGTAAATGGGAACACACAAGAGCATGTATACCCGTACGTTCTTCTTCATTCTAAGCTATGTCTTGAACCGTGTAAATGAGCTTAGAATTTTGAGTAACCGCTCCAAAATAAACATAACACAGCGTTTGCAACGTGTTTGGTTCTAAAACTCTGGTAATCCACATGTGAGCTCTTCAGCCTGCGAGTAACTGTCCTTTTGCCTATGTGCCAGACAGTTGCCTGTCTTTAGTAATACGCTCTGATTTTTCTTTTCCGCACAGTGAGAAAGAGAGCGAAAGGTCGGCCAAGATGTGGCTGAGAAAGTCTCCGAGAGGGAGGCACCGCAGGGGTAAGTCCAGCCCGCCGGCCGGCATGGCGCCAGGAGATCGGGTGACCCGGGCTGGCCCCAGGTGGCCCGGGGTCCCGCCGTCCTCGGCCGCCTCTTCTCGGGAGCCACGCTCACCCAGGTCGTAGAGGTTCCGAAGCACGGCATTCAGGAGTGTCTCAGAGCCAGGAGGCTCGGTGGAGTCCGACTCTCGTTCCGCCGCCATGGGAATCTGCACGGATCTCCAAATCCAGCCCACAACCCACCACTTCCGCTTCCGGCGCTCCTGCGCGTGCTCCACGGGGCCCTGCGCGGCCTCCGTCCTGGTTAAGATGGCGGCGCCCGGGGTCCCGTGCGGTGGCCGTACTGAGTGCCACCGCCCTGGGCAGATTGGAGCCGCCCCGTTCGAAAGAACCGCCCCCAGCCGCTGCACCCTGGCCGCGTAGCAGACGAGCCCAGGCCCCGCCCGGGACGGCAGCCGCGCCATGGACGTTCCTAGCTCTTCCAGTTCCCGCTTCTCGGTCAGCTCTGCCAGCCCCGGCACTGTGCTCCTCTATGCGGTAGGCGCCTAGGGGACTGAGGCCCGGGGCGACGTCTCGGGAAAGGACAGCCCCTCCTGACCCCTTGTCCCCAAGCCCACAACCCCTGTCTTAGAGAGCAGGTCATGACGTCCCTCCGTGCAGGATTTGGGTACTTGGCTTGGTATCCACAGCAACCATGTGTCTGCGTCTCGGTAAACGTGTCTGCTTTTACAAGTTTCTGTCGATGGTGGCTCCCCTGTCCCTTTGCCCTGTCAGGCCTGGAGCCCCGCACACCAGCACTAAGGGAGAATTGGAGGCTCCCCTGTCCACCGAGGGCGTGTCGGCAGAGTTCTGCCTGTTGAGAAACCTGCAGGCTGACCTAGCCCGAGAAGACTTGGCTCTCCACCTCCTGCCTTTTTTTTTTTTTTTCTTCTTTGAAGTATTCCTGGGAGAAAAATATTCGACAAGAATATGCGAGTAGAGTTTTTTTTAACACTCTAATTTAGGAAGACTTGGAACTGCTGGAAATTACTGTCTTTTATTCGTTATTTTTCCGCAAGTTGTTGGATAGGACTCCCATTACCACTACCTTCACTACAACTTGCCTCTACACCCCCCCTCCAGAATTACTTCCTCTTCTGGTTTTAACTGGTGGTTTGCCTGGTTTAGTTTCCAACAGAATGTTGGTCGCTTACAATATTCATGAGCTTACAGTATTCATTATCAAGGTGGAAGCTTTGTACCCCTTCATCCCGTGAGATTGTACAATCCTGGGGGACAATTTATTTTTATGTTGTGTGTATGAGTGTTTACTTGCATGTATGTATGTGCACTATGTGGTCTGGAAATTGAGTTAAAATTGTTGTGACCTGTCATGTGGGTGCTGGGAAAGGAATTGCTCTTAACCCTTGGAGCCATCCCTCCAGCCCCGAGGAATTTATTTTTAATAGCTCATTTTTGAAACAATCTTCGTGGTTTGTACTCTGCTTTGGCATTAGCTATGAAACCCCAGGCTGTCCTGGACCTTGCAGTCCTCATGTCCTAACCTCCAGAGAGCTAGCACTACAAGTCTACACCACCACTCTTGGCAAATAATGCCTTTAAAAGGATATTTCCATGGCTTGGCAATTAACACCGGTTTCTGCCTTAAGTCCAGTGTAGTGTTAGCTTGTGTAGAAATATCAAAAGAGAAGAAAAAAAAAAACCCACAAAAGAGCAAAGCAAACAAACTTCCTGGTTTCTAAGAAAATATTGCTACCTTGAGACTAGGACAATATCTTTTGGAATGTGGGCAAACTTCCTTCACTGTCTCTTAAGAAGTTTACATTTATGATTTCTGTGAACTGCTGCTTTGAAGCTCATGGCTGGAGCCTCTCTCATTGACCTCACCACACAGTTCTTTGTTGGAAACACTTCGTTGTTTTACAGTTTGTTCTTCTAATGCAGTTGTGTTGGGAAAGGAGATTATTGTATAGATCCAACTCAAGAAACTTCTTGGCCTTTAAATGGGTTTGTGTGTGGACTGGAATTTTCCTTGCATATGTTAATAAAAAGGAGTTGGTTTTTACTTCATCTATGTTTTCTTAATCATAAGACATTTGTCAACTTTCTGTGTGAATAACTAAGTCAACTGGCCATGAGCATTTCCACTTTTGAAGCTGGACAGTAGCCTCCTCCCATTTTCCATCTTGGGTGTTTTGAGACAGGGTTTACTCTGTGTGAGTTCCACCTGCCTCTGCCTTCCACTTGTGTGAGTTCCACCTGCCTCTGCCTTCCACCTGTGTGAGTTCCACCTGCCTCTGCCTTCCACCTGTGTGAGTTCCACCTGCCTCTGCCTTCCACCTGTGTGAGTTCCACCTGCCTCTGTGCCACCACGGCCTGACTCAGTCACCTTTAACAGATTCTGGCTAATCTCTGTGACTGCACAGCTGATGACCATGATAGCCTACTTCAGACTGCCTAACTTCTTCCACTACACTTTTAATTGTGCAATACTTTCTGTCTAATCTGTAGTTCTTTAGTGATATTAAGATATTGCTAATGATGGCAAACATTAGGAGTGCCTGCAGTCTTCCAGTTTTTATTCTCAGTGCCAAAGACTGCCTTGCCTCTAAGGACACAGGAAGTGGTGAATGTAAACAGTACAATTAAGTGGGATAAATAAGGGCAGTGATTAAAGCATGCATTGAATGTTGTTGGAGTCAAGGGGAGGGACATCTGGTTCATTTGGGGACTTTAGAAGGATTCTAAGAAATGACACCAAGACTGTGTTGCTGTAGTGTGAATGCTGGGAGGTGGGGACTGCTGAAGTAATTAGGTAAGAAAATCACTGCCTTGCATGTGTGGGGAAACTGACTAGAGAATGATAAAGAAAACAGAAGACAAAATTAAGAACATAAGCTAAAGATGTTTGCTAAAAGAATTTCACATATCATGGGTATTCTGGGTATTTGTGCCTTTTATCAAGGATTAAATCTTCTCAGTGTGTTTATGCTCTAGAAAGCCTAAGAAAACCATTAGGCTTCTGGCATGATTATCTGCATTAGTAATGTCTTTCATTCTGAAGACTGTAGGTAGGAAGAAACTCAGGGTGGGGAAGATGTGTGACTCGTAAGCATGGAGATCAGTTAGGACAAATGACTAAGGCAGGCAAGGGGGTGAAGCCCAGTGAGGCTGGGAAGCACAAAGCATGATGGTTTTATGTGATACTTAGGGCAGGAGATCCTTGGCCTTGGGAACCAGTTGTATCTGGGACGCAAAGAAAGTGGGGGCAGTCTGAAGTAGGCTGTTGGGTTCCTGTGGTTTGGCAACTGGGCAGATGATGATCTCTCAAAGATAGGAAGTACAGGGGAGGAGCAGGTTTAGTCAGGTAACAGAGCAGTTTCGATCTGGGATGTAAGATTGTCAGCTGTGGATTATCAAGATCTGGACCAGATACATCCTAAATGTTTGGGAGGCATCTGAGTAGAGTTAGGAATGTGGTACCCAAGCAAAAGAGGAGGGCGTGGATTTGGCAAGTCAGTGATAGGTAGAATGTTTTTGAAGCTAGAAGTGCACTCTTGCCCTGAGAGAG